CCAGACTCTGTTGCACCTAACAAGCAGACCCTGAATTCCTCAGAGGAGGAGGAAGAAACAAGTCAAAATGGTGAGTTTTTTAAGGATTAGTGGATGAAAAAACAGATTTAGAAGACCTTCAATGTGCTTTTGATTGTCAAGGTGGGTTCCTTATATCTCCTAAAGATCTGTTTACTGGGAGCTGTGAACATGTGTATGAGCACATTATTGTTCTTTGTTGCCTGATACAAATGTGTCTGTTCTGTTCAAGCTTGCTATTCCAGCGCCCTCTTGTAGATTTGTAGCAAGCTAAGTTGCTGGTAAAGAATGCATAGTGTAAATTTGATAATTGAAAGTTTAATACAATCCTTTTGTTATTCCACGAAGTATCTTCAGTGTTTCTCTACTTTTTCTGCAAAGAGCAAGATTCCACTGAAAGCACCTTATTAATGCGTGAACTGAAATCTAATTGTAGTAACTCCAGCTTTAAGCTTTTTTCTTTGTTTATTTGATGTTGGGGTTTTGTTTTGTTTTGTTTTTTCTGAAGCAAAACTTCTTATTCACTCCCTTGCAGGGAAATTTCATGAAGAATATATCTATGCACCTCCAGGTAAGTAAAAGCTCAGTCTTTACTGATAGAACATTTGGTGACTAATACACTTGTTATGATGTTTTTATAAGTGTCTGAAGGATTAGATTTAATGCTGCTTTTTTCAATTAATTTTGCCTCTGCCCTCCAGATCCTGACTGTGAAACTTCAACAGTATTTAGTTCAGCAGAACCTACAGCAAACTTGGTAAGCTTTAGTCACAGTGTGTTCAGATTGGGATCCTTGAGGTGTGTGGTATTCTTCAAAGAAACTGTCTTTGGATGCAGGCTTAACATGGTAGGTGAGCAACTTATAAAAGAAAGGAATGCTGGCTTCATTTATATAGTCACCCTCCTTTTCCTTCCTGAATGGTGCGGTTTCTATCTGAGTCTGCAAGTACAGTCTAAATTGAAGTAGGTACAGTAATGATTTTCCACCTTTATCTTGCAAAGAGAAATTGTGCATTTGAGTGCTGTTTACTTTGCTTTTTCTGCTCCAGACAGCACTGACTTTTATCGTGCTACCCTTCAAGTTGCATTCCAGTTAATCTTGGTCTGCCACTGGAGAGATCTCATCTCTGATAGAACTGGCTTTGGAATTTATTTATTTTTTTAAATCTGAAACTAAATCTTCAGTCACTTGCTGGTCTACAGTGGGTGTGAAAGCAGTGTTGTGCGTGTCAGAACAAAACTGCTTTTACTTGAGCTACAAAAGATACTCTGTGTGTATAGTCATAATTAATAAATTCATCAATTACCAAAATAACTATTAATTAAATTACACATTAGTAAACAATTTCAACAGTATTTTACTCAGAAATTAATTCGAACTAATGAATAAAATAATACAAAATAAGGATGTGGTGTGTGTGCTTTGTGGCTTTTTTGCTATTTAACTGGACCATGCTTTGCTTTGGAATCCCTTCAGGAAGAAGGACCAGCCTCAATGTCGCCTCAAGAGGAAGCAGCTTCCTACAGCTATCCCCAGAAGGTATTATCTAGTACTTGATCAATTATATCTAGTACTTTATCGTGGTAGCCCTGTGGAGAGGTAGCCAGTGTGGTCAGTGTCAGTTGTGGGGGCCCCTCATAGCATCTTTCAGCAAAGAATATATCTCCCTATAAATACAAACAAAACAGAAGGCAAGAAGATGCCTTGCAGGTGTCTGCAACTCTAAACTGATATTTTCAAGCCTATTTTTAGAGAGTTTGGATAGTTAGCCACCTTTACAGCAGGGATTTTCAAAGTGCATTCACGTGAAGTGAGAATTTTTGATGTATGTGGTATTTCCTTAGTCTTTGTTAAAGCCAGTTGTAGAGGCAGTCTGCTGAATGCTCTCTTTTCCAGGTATTGGTGAACTCAGCCTCTGCAGATGTTTATACTGCTCCAGGCTTCTCTTCAGATTCTGCCTCTGCTCCAGCCAATGTTACAACAGCTCCCCCACAAACAGTAGTTCAGCCAGTCATAGTATCTCCCCTCCCTATGGGGAGGCCAGGTAAAGTGTACAGACTGCAGCTGGGGACTTGGAGTTCAAGTTTGCAGTTGTGTTTTTCCCTCCCTCCCCCCAACCGCATCCAAGAGAAATGTTAAAAGGCTCAAAAAAAAAAAAAAGAGGCATCGCTTGCTTTGGTTTAAAATGATTTAGTTGTCATTGTAATTTGGCTGCTGACTTATTATTTTGAAGGGGCAGTTGTCCCCAAATTTGCATGGAAATTGGAGGTCTCTGCTATGGGTTCCCACCTTGCCACCTTTAACCATTAATGCCAAGTGTTTTGCTAGAATGTGCTTTCCAGAAGGCAGAAGTTCATGGTTGTTCCCTTCATCTCCTGTTTCCTACAGTTAATTTTCCTCTTGAGTCGAGATACTGTTTCAGAGGCTTTGCTCTCTCTTCCGAAAGAGTCACTGGCTCTGATGGTTTAGGGTGCATACATATGTCCAGTTCATTCTTGTGCCCCATGGTTACTTCTGTACGTAGTTATTTCTGTGCAAGGAGATGAGATTTGTGATTAGTCACGTGGTGCATTTGCCACCTTAGATGCAGTATCTGCTTTGCTCTTGTGAAATGTCTGTTAGGCTTTTTTTTTCCTTTCTTGCGAAGAAGACTTCGTATCTTCTGTAACTCTTCACTTAGCATCCAAAAACCCTTCACCTTCCATTTTGCTCAGTTCTGTCTCACTTCTCTTACCCTTTTTTTTTTTCTACTCTGCATGAGGGTTTTGTCAGCACAGTTCTCAAAGCTGTCTGCTCTCTGGTGCCAACTTGCTAGTGTGTTGGATGTGTGGGCCACCTAATGAATATTTAACAGTAGTCTGGCCAAAAGTCTTTTGGCCTGACATGTCTTGAACCTTCCCCTGGTTTTGTGGGCTTACTGTCACACTTTTGATGACTTGAAGCGATTAGTCTGTTCTCTCTTGTTTTCGAGCAGACAGTTATGTAAGTGAAGTCTGGTCTTGCCTTCTAGTATGGAGAAATGATTGAAAGAGACATTTATTCTTAACTGGGACATGAATCTTGCAGATAGATGTACAGTTAAGGCTTCAGATTGGAAACTTCCCATCTGGTTTTAAAATTTCTTCTGGACATCTTTTAAAGTGATTACTAAAATGAGTTTTAGTAGAGCTTATATTTAGGGGCACTGAGGTGACACAGTGCATGCTGTATTGTGTGACTTCAGACCTTGCTCACTTGACATGTTATGGCAAAGTTGACTTTACATTGGTTTCCTTCCAATTGTAGCAGTTTCTTCAGTGCCATTCCCAGTTTATTCAGCTCCTCTTCATCCAGTGAGTGAGGTGGGAGAAGCTGGTGCTGTTCTTCCAGCTTACTCTTGTGATCCCAGTGGCAGTGATCTGCCTCGAGGTAATGATATTTTGTGCTTTTACTCCGGCTGCTTCTTAGCACATTTCTGACTTCTATTCTTCATGGAAGCTTAACAGAATACCAGTAGTGAGGAGAAACGGCTCTTTGCAGCTCACAGGGAGTGAGGAATAATATTGTAGGTGCTTTTTCTAAAAACATTTTAATTCCCAATTTTGAATAGCAATTTTGTCTGATTCTAATATGTGACTACTGCAGCTCTAGACAGCATCCTGAAGAAGATGAATGGCAAGGGAGAGGGTGCTTGGCCTATATCATACTGGTTCTTGGCAGAGTAATCATTTTTCTGATACCCAGTTAAAAAAAATATATTTAAAGTTGTGCTGTTAGAGTTCAGTGGGATATTTTGTTGTTTTTCTCTGTATGGCTCCAAGATGTCGTTCTGTGGAATTATAAGCTATGGCTAAAGTACAGAGTAATTTTGTTCCTTGGGTGCATAGCCTTGTCATATACTGTCACCTGTTTAGGTCAGTGTTTAAGGTACATTTTGGCTATTAAGCCACCAGTGTGCAGAGACCAAGCCTGCTGCTTTCACAGGCACTGCTGCCATGCTCTGCAGTAGCTCTGCTCTCTTGCCTGTGCTCTCAATTCCCAGATTTTTTAGTCTTGAATATTGTTTCCTCTTCCCTGCTGGTAGTGTCATTCTAACTGATCCTGTGCACACATCACAGTTCATGCTTTTCAGCTGTAGCTGAATGCCCTTAACTGAGGCTTTCTGCACTTGGAAGAATTGGGTGTTAAGTGTACTGACAAGAATCTGGAGTGTATGTGGATTAATAACCTCTTCAGACCCTGCCTGCAGCTCTTCAGCTCAGTCACTCCACGTAATGTTGGCCATATCCTTTTTGGCATAGACTCTAGAGATTTTAAGGATTTTAAGGTTGCTAGTTAATAAGGAATTGCATGTAGCATTTGTTGTCATACTGCTGTAGGATAATCCATATGGCCAGCAGCTTTGGAGTAGTGCAGGAGAGAGTGTGTGGGTATACTTGACCTAGAGTTCTGCATGTTTTACTAAAGATACCTGGAGGCCTAATATAGGTGGGAAGCATGACTTGTCAGCAGACTGAAGTCCTGGTTCTGGGAGGAAAACCATGCCTTAGCATTACTTGGAATGTCTGCATTTATTCCAGTTTTCATAATCTCTCGGGTCTTGTGTCAATGGCACTTAAGGCTTGTGAAATGTCTTTGTTAATATGGTGACCTCAGGAGTCCTACCTGTGCCTGGTCCCTTATATTTGAAGGAGATGTTGATAAAAGACTGCTTGATATTACTGTGGTCCAGACATTGCATTAGTGTTCAGGATTGGCCAGAGCTTCTCATCAGCACAGTAAAAAGTTTGACCTAAAATGAATTTTTTGTCAGCAGTCAACATGGTCTATGTTTTCATGTTGGGATGGGTAACTTTTTTTGGCTTAGCTATTACTTCATAAGATCTCATCTTTTACTGAAGGTTGACTTGATTTCTAGACATCTAAAAGGGGAATGTAAACAAAAACTGGTCTCCTACTGTACTGGCTTCTGTTCCAGCATTCCACAGACGTCATTATTTCCAATATCAGTTTGTCACTTCAGTCTCCTAGCTATTCCTTTGTACTGTTATCGCTGCTATGAAACAGCTGTTTCATTCACTTGTTATGCTTGTTTTGCATAGATTTGCATAAACAATTGAAGAACAAAATCGGATTTTTCTTAAAAACAACCAACTTGTTCCAAATATAGATGCAGTTTCTGCTAGATACTAATAAGTTGGCATTCATGTAAGCCTTTGGGTTATTTGTAATGTTTTACTGACTGTGATCAGTGTTACAGCCAGATCACCAACACTTCCAGGACTGAGTAGATGTAAGGAAGGATCTGTGTGCACTTCCTGAAATAGTGGGTTGTTGTCTTGATCAGACATGCTGAGCAGTAAAGGAATTGAGAATTGGCAGCAGTGACAGAAGAACAAAAACTTGTGCATTTCTGTGCCTACCTGCAGCAGAATGTGACATACAGTACCATAGAGGAACAGAGCTGGGAAAGCGTGTGTGGAGGAGACAGGGGCACAGGGAAGCACTGTGGAGCCAAGGCCCTGGTCTAGGGGAGGGTGGGTAGGTGGTGTGAAGATGGAATACGTGGAATTGGTGGCTTGCTCTTCCTCAGCCTTCTAAAACAAATCTGTATCATTATCTAAGAAATCAGTTTTTCTCATGCACAGTTCCAGAATTGCATCATAGTATTAAACACCTGCTCTCTTGGATTTTTTCCTTTCAATGGTCAACTTCAGAGGTTTAAAACTGCTTTGCTGTTTTCGGACAGTTGAAAGTGTGTTGCCAAGTTCAAAACCCTGTTGTTCTTGAAGAGGGTTTTCAAAGTTCCTCCACACTTCTGGAATTGTTTCTCAGCATATCGTGTACTTGTCTGGAGACAAATGATTCAGTCCATGGAACACAGAAGTAAAAGACTACTTGCAAGAAAGCAGGGAACTGAATCCCCTTGTGAGGAACAGGAAGGAAGGAATATATTCCTTATCCCTTCCTACCCGCCTCCGTTTTCTAACTTGATATAAGAACTGGGGGGACCCCCAAAACTAGGTGAGAAGGTCTTAGGATCTCTGCATGTGTTGTCCCCATTGACATGTCTCTGTACCCATTGCTCAACAAAGCAGCCCAGGAAGGGTGTTCATATGTTTGCAGTGTCTCTAAGAGCGGTGGGGGTGACTTGTCACTGAGGGGGGTATGAGAAGGCTGCTCCTGCCTGTCTGCGTGCTTCCAAACCCTTTTCCATTTCTGAAGGGAGGGCTTTTAGTGGTTAACTTAATTTAGGTATTCATAATCAAAGTCTTACTTGAGAAAATGCTGCTGCTTCTAAAAACCCAGCCTGAACAGGAAGCCAGAACTGCTTAGACAATGGAGACTTGTAACAACACTGACAGTTACCACTTGGGTAATCAAGATGATTAAACCAAAATTAAGCTAATGTAGTCATTAAAGTTAAATTAGTTGGTCAGACAAATGTTCTACTATTGCATGAACATCTACCTGGAATAAGTTAAAAAGATACACCAGTTTTAAGAACTATTTATATTCAAGACACATTCTTTACCCTTGAAACTTTATAGAAAAAGTAGTGCTAAAATGCTCTTATTAAGTAAGAGTAACTTAAAATAAAATGTTCTTAATGTGTGTAAATTGCATTTGCCTCTCGGTTTATACTCCTCTGCTCTTTAATGTCATATCCTTTAATTTCAGATACAAAGGTCTTGCGGTACTATTTTAACCTGGGATTGCAAGTAAGTGCTTTGAAAGTGAGTGTAGTAAATTACCTGTAAAAACTGCTGGTTTTCTTGACAAAAGTACTGTTGTATTTAAGACTACAAGTGTGCTAAATGTGCATCCTGTGCATTTGACTATGAATACATATAGGTTTGCTTGCTGGAGGTTAGTGTGGCTCAGGAAGTGAAGCCCTAACTCAAAATATGAAGCATGCTGTATCTGTGTTTAGCTGTTCTACTCTGGGTTGTGATGGCGTTTTGTTTGGTTGATTTTTTTGGGGTTTTTTGTTTTGCTTTTTTTTTTGCAGAGGATGGTGGATAAATATTATTCTTTCATGAAGATAAGGGGACTAATCTGGGCCATTCTTAAGAAGATTTTTGTTCTTAGACAAGACATCAAAGACCACTTAGAGATGTGTGGTTTGAGTCTTCTAGGACTTGTACAGCTGTGTTCAGGCTAGTTAGCACCATTTCTGTGTGTTCTGGAAACTCTTGCTCTGCTGGAGAGTTCTCCCTGTACCAGTGGTCATATGTAGTGTCAGTGCTGCTGCTCAGGGAAGTAAAAGAAGTCATCTGAGCTGTTTCAATTGAAGAAATAGGGAAGCTGTCTTGGAATGTGATAGAGTCAATTAGTGGGAATCTTTGTCTCTGTAAAGATTTTTTACACAAGTGGAACTGAGCTGGATATTGCTGCGGGTATTGCAGTATTTATTTTGGTAAGCTGTTTTGTTGCTGTACTTTGGTGTGTGTAGTGTTTTAAGGGGCTAGGAAGGAAAAAATGCACTTCTTCCTAACTTTGGATCTGGTGATTTGGAGGAGGGATAGAGAATATGTGGTTACATGCATGACTTTGTCTGTCTTTTTTTTTTTTTTTTTTTTTTACCCCTGCCCCTCTCCTCGCAGTATTACCATCAGAGCTGTTGGCCTTCCGTGATGTATGTACAGCCAGTGCTGCCTCCATCTCCAGTTGAAGTTTATCCAGCATATGCCGAGCCAGCTCCTGTCTTAGATCAGTCAGTACCTCAGCTCCTCACCGATGCTGGGCGAACTGAAGTCCACCAGGTTCCTTTGGAAGCACCTGCAAATGGTAAGTTTTGAGTGTAAGACCATACTGACAGCAAGTGAGAGGTGAAGGAGTAGGTTTTCAGAATGCAGCTCCTCATTAGGAGCTGCTTGCCTGCTGCTTTGCAGTCAGGTAGGAAGCATGAGGTAGGGAGGACCCAGTGTAAGCCTTGTATAAGAGCTTATCATGAGTTCCTCGGCCATTGTGGGGCTGCTTACAGTATGTCAGTGTCACTGGTGTGGCCCCCAGTATGGGCTTTCTAAATCTATGAAAAGGAAGAATCACAGAATAGTTAGGGTTGGAAGGGACCTCTGGAGATCATGTAGTCCAACCTCCTGCCAAGGCAGGATCATCTAGAGCAGGTGACACAAGAATGTGTCCAGGTGGGGTTGAATGTGTCCAGAGGGGAAGACTCCATGCCCTCTCTGGACACCTATTCCAGTGCTCTGCCACCTCGATGTAAAGGCATCCTTCCTCATGTTGGGGTGGAATTTCCTGTGTTTTAGCTTATGGCCATTACTCCTTGTCCTGTCTTTGGGCATCACTGAAAAAAGCCTGGGAACATCCTTTTGACACCTGCCTTGGAGATACTTATATGCGTTAATAAGGTCCCCTCTCAGTCTTCTCTTTAGACTAAACAGGCCCAGCTTCCTAGTGAGTAATCCTGTCTAGGCCTGTACTAGGTACACTAACTTTAACTTGGGAGAACCTTTTTTCTACAGCTGCAAAGAAATCCCTTTGCTTGCTGATGAGCAAATAAGGGTCAAAGAAGAATGCTTGTATTTAAAGGGAAGGAGACAGTTGAGTTTTGGCAAGCACTAAACATCACTAGTTCATGGGAAGATGTTGCAAACCTTGATTTTAGGCTCAGCATGCTGAGCTGTTAGCCCTTGAAGTAGTTCTTATTGGTAGCTGCCTCTCTTGCTGTGTGTAAACTTTTACAGTGAAACTTAATTTCATCTAGCAGCTTTGTAACAAGCTTGTAGATGCACTGTTCTTGAAGAGGGTTTAGCGAGAAGATAAGCAAATTGTCCCACTTAGATCCCAAAATGATTTTGACCTGTCTGTTAGGCATATGGGCATAAAACTGTCATGTAAATGGATTTTCCCTTTTGGCCACTGAAGTAATGCTATGTTCATGGTAGTGAAGGTCTGCATAAACAGGCCGTAAATATGGTTAAAATGTGTAAGTGTTTATTTTGTTCTGATTTTAAGGTAACTTTCAAAATGCAGATCCTCCACCCCTGTCCTATGGCCCAGTGTATTACCCAGTGATGCCAGACCCATTCAGCCACCAGTCTCTGCCTGGGTTTGACTCTGCAGTGCCTGCCTATCACTATATCAGTGCCTGGCATCCAGTAAATCCTCCGTATGGAAGTTCACCACAAATGGTTAATGCTGTAAGTTCAGGACCACTACATCACGTCAACTATATTGTCTCACCTAACCCTGCACCTCAGGACACGCCTCAAGGAATGTAAATCTGGGAGCTGGAAGCTCATTCTTGGTTTCTTTGTTGTTTGTCAGCTATTGCTAATATTCTGTTGTAAATGTTACTCTCTCTTAGTGGCTGAGGCAGTTGATCAAACTGCATGCAAATTTCATGTTTCTCTTTAGGTTTATGCTATTGATAGTTGACAAGATGTTTTAGTTGAGTAGGGAAGCATAGGAAAAAAGTATGTACAGACTATAGTGCAGGGAACACAGCTTGACTGTGACTACATAAAGTACTAAAGGCTTGTTGTGTTACGTGTCTGAGTGGTTGCACAGAACACTTAAACACCTGATCGTTGTTGAAGCACTGAAATAAGGTGCTATTACAAGTACAGATAAAAACTGGGCACAGGGTTGTTAGAGGGTGAAAATGTTTAAAATAAAATGGTTTTCTCAGATTTCACAAAATAAAGCTTCTTTGCCACTAGTGGTCACATACGTGTAATAGCTGTATTTCCTCTGTCTGCCTCATGCTCTGTAGGTTTCATGACTGTGAAAAGTGTAAGAATGTTCTGATCTGTTGTATATTGTTGTGTATTTGTACAATTTGTTTTGTGAAAGCAGTTGCACATATGGTGGTAGTCTTGGTGTTTAATTTGCACTGACAGCACAAAATAAAAGCATTGAACACATGAAAATGCGTGGTCATTTGTTCCTGGCAGGTCACGTTAGTTATCCCACAGCCTGGACCAAAGAAATGTAGTTGTGTGGGATAAGGCTGCTGCTCCAGCTCTCTATGAGAAAGTAGCAAAAGCTTTCAGAATAAGAGTGGAGTCATTCCTGGTAATTGCACCTTTTCCCCTTTAAACTTAGGAGATCTGCCCGATTTACAAACAGGCACAACATGGTTTCTTGTGGCTCTGCAAAAATGTGTTAAAATTGAGCCTCAAAACCGAGGTGGAAGTGCAGCTAGTGGTGATTTTTAACCTCATTTTTTGTTCTTGAAGCTCATACAGCCTTAGCTGCCATCAGATGCAGTGTGTGAACAAGTAGTGTCAGTATGGGTTTGTAGTAGGGAATGGAGAGGAGCCTCAAGGGTAGAAGAAGCTCTAACTTTATGAAATTGAAGGAGGGGATGACACTGCTTTTCCTACTTCACTAGTAAGTTATGAACAAAGGATATACAAACATGCAGCCCTGGAGCATCATGGTGGCTCAGCTCTGTCCTGGAGTAACAAACAAGGGCACAAGTGCAGGTTATGTCATCTCAGTGCCAGAGGCCCTGAAAAACAGCAAAGACTTGTTTTAACAAGTCTTCTTGATTTCCACATGACTTAAGCATTTGAGTGTCTGAGCCTGATTCTAAAAGCCATGGCTGCCAGGTCTGGTAGGGAATTGGAGTCCTCCAAATCCAATTACAGCCTGCTTTCTAGGTAAGGAGGTGTTAGTGGCACAATTGCCATTTAACAAAATATAAATCTATGGGCCCATCCTACTGTCTAGTGATTTTTTTTAAAAAAATTTTTTTTTTATTATTTTTCCATTGTCTATAGGTAAGCGGTGGTGAAAAGGGGATTTAACTGCAGCATTGGGAGGGGGAATATATTTCCTTTAGTATCCCTTTGAAGTAAGTATCTAAGCAAAACATACTGAGGGACAGTGACTCCTTGCAGTTTTGTCTTACATTGTTGCAGCACTTTTGGTATTGATATTGTATCCTTAAAACTCTTCCTTAAGAGAAGGTAATGTAATCCTCTGTTGGAAGGATTGCAAGCTCAGCCTTTGGTTTATTTCTTCCAATCTCTAATTGCTGTACCTGTAACTTGGCAATTTAATAACAGCTTTTCAAAATGGAGCAGCCAGGTAAAAAGTCAAAGCATGGTGAAAATGACCTCTGAATAGCTAATTTGATTATGAGCTGCTGTGCTGTTTAGAGAGAAAAAAAGGAATAAAAGATGCACACAATTATTTACAAAGTAATTGGCAGCAGTTAGGACCTTGGCCTTCGTATTTTTGACTCTGGAGGAGCACTCTGCTTGCACAGATGTTTTTTTGAGAAGATACCACACGGTTTTTTGCCTCCTTTCTCTGCAAAAACCTTCACTAGACTAACCTCTTAAAAGGAACCAGTAAAGCCTATGATTTATTTTACGAACTTTAAAGCAGCACAGACTTAAGTAGTACAGTCTCCATGCTGGAGTCATCAAGTGTGTTTCCACCTCAGTCACAGGTGCCATCTGTCATATCCCAAACAGTTGCTGTCAAGCACTGAAGGGAATATCTTCCACTTTCAGGCTTTAGCTATGAATAATGCCTCCTTCCTTGCACTGTCACTGAGACAGCCTTGCTTTTCTCTACACAAATGGTTATCACAGCAAAGTGTTGATGTTTTATCTTCTGGTATGAGTCTGTCTCTTGAAGTCAACTTTTTTTTTTTAATTAGAAAAACTGACTGATAATTCTGGTACATAGTCCTGGCTTTGGCATGGTTTTTCTTACCCATCTGGTACCTGCATTATTCAGCTTCAGCTGTGGCTATCATGGCCTTATTGGCCACTTTGATAAGCATGAAAATTACATTAGTTGATATAACATATGTAGTATGTGAACAGTTAACTTGTTTATGGATTAGAGAGGTATTTTTGTGGCTTGATACATGGATGTTTTGCCAGGGCTGTTAAGGCTCAAAATCGACTTTTTGTGCTAGCAAGTAGGGGCTGTGGGAAACAGTTAGCAGTGGTGTCATGGGGCTGGTTGATGAATGGTCTCTGTGGATAATGTTGCCTTTTTATTAACAGTAAAAGAGCTTAGAATGGTACTGAATGCTGGAGTCTTTTATTTTCAATTCTGTTTTCCAGAGCTGTGTTGCAATACAACAGCTCTGCATCACTTGACTGAAACAGTTGCCAAAAAGCCACAGCTCTACCTAAAACACAGCTAACCTGCTTTGTACTTCAGTCATTTCCTCCTCAGCTAGAGCTTGCCAGGTCTGGCTGCAGCATCCCTGTGCTAACAATATTCCTAGTTCTGTGCTGGAGTGTTCCAGGGCCTAATCACTCCAGAACAGCTGCCTTTTCAGACACTAAGATAATTCACATCAAAATGACACTGAGTTCTGGGAGTTGGTTTGGGAGGTTATTTTTTTGGTTGGGGTGTGTGCATATGTGTGGTCTATGGCTCCCAAGATGTGGGCTCAGCATGTTTGGGTTTTTCGTGGGGAATCCAGTGTCAGCCTGATGATCTTGCAGACCTCTTTAGTTTGGCACGTTTGATTATTGCTGCTACAGCTTGGTACCAGAACAATGCTCTGGGTTTTTCATGCCCACCAGAATTGCTGTGAAAGTGGGTATTGGGATATAGCTTGAAGCCATAACCATGTTTTATCATTAATTAGAAGGATGAAAAAAATCCATGAGCATTGATTTCTATTTGGAACATTTTTTTCCTTCAGATCAAAGTTTTAAAATTTGTGTTTTCTGTCTTTATTGGGCTACTAGAAGTATGTTGCCTCATAATGAATTTTTAAAGCAAGGATTTGATCCAGGAATGTGTTTTCTCATTTTTCTTTTTTTTTTTTTTGTGGATGACTTTTCAGCCTTGTAAAGGGAGAAGAGTTGTGCAGCCAAGTCTGCAGTAGTCATGCTTGCCACCTCCTTTTCTTCACTATGTTTTTACAGATGAAAGGACTGGGCTCAAACTGAATTAACACTTGAGGGCTGTGCAGGAAGGAGCCATGGACTGGCAGCACCACAGTGTGCTCTCCTTACATGTGAGCACTTCTGGTTTCACAGTCCTTGTAACCAGCTGCAGAGCCAAACCTCTCCTTAGTGACAGGGTGAGAGGATATGGCCTCAAGATGTGCCAGAGGAGGTTCAGGCTGGACACCAGGAGGAATTTCTTCATGCAAAGGGTTGTTAAACATTGGAATGGACTGGCCAGAAAGATGAGTGGAGTCACCATCCCTGGAAATGTTCATGAAACAACTGGACATGGCACTTAGTGCTCAGGTCTAGCTGATGTTGTGATGGGTCACCGGTTGCATTCCATCTCGGTGGTCTCTTCCAACCTAAATGTCTCTGATTCTTCTGAAAGCACAGGATGAATGAAGTGGTGATCAGCCCCAGGTCTTGTGCTTTGGGCTGGGACTTTCTTGTGCTTTAAAGCATTTCAGTCTCTCTAAAGTGCTGCAAAATCTTTTTGCTCTCAGCAGGAGCAGTCTCCAGTCTGACTGCAATTGCCTGCGTGATGCCAGGCACCAGAGTGATCTGTTGTCTGAGCACCAGTCACTATGCAGGTAACAGCCTGGTGTTTTGGCGGAGTGCTGAGGTCTTGCACCAAAGGACATGCCAGGCCTGTGCCCTGTTGCAGTCAGGCTGTGAGCATTGCCCTCCCATGTGTGCCCCATGGCCTTGTCCCGTGCTTCACAGCCAGAGCAGCACCAGTCCTGCCTGAACAGCCACCACACTACTGCTGTTCAGCAGTCCTTCTGATGTCTTTTGAATTGTAAAATCCATCTGTTATTGAAGATAAGTATTATAAATACTGCAGAGAGACCATGCTGATTCTGCCTGTCAACAGCATTAGCCTGCTAGCCCCTGCTATTGCTCCTGTGCCATTTTCCCTTTGGTTACATATGAACGCCAAAACAGTTCCTACAGCAAGTTGTTTTTCTAGCTCAGTCGGTTGGTTTTGGGGTTTTTTTTATTCTTAGCTTCCGTTTCTCTCTGCAGTCCTGCTGGAGACCTTTCATAAAATTACACCATCAAAGGCTGCATTATATATAGAAGTTATTCAACATATAAATCCAGACCCAGACTTCCAAGTAACTGCTTTTTTTTCATAAGAGAGGAAGATAAAACCATTGAACCAGGACTTTATAGCTTTGAAATAAGATCAGAGATTAAATTTTGCAGGGCAGGCCTGTATCTAGAAGTACCTACCCTTGATCGAGCTCTGCTGCTTACCAGATTTCCCAGTCAGCTGAGCTGCAGCACATATGAAATAGCTCAGACAGTATGAGCCACAGGCTCAGAGCACAAACTAGGTA